AAGTTGTCTACCCGGAATAAAAGCAAACTGTGAAGGGCTCACAATATCTTTAATCACTGAGACTAATCTCTTCGATAGAACTTTGGAGACGATTTTATAAAGACTGCCCACAAGACTTATTGGTCGGTAATCTTCAATACCTTCCGGGTTGATTTTCTTAGGAATCAAAGAAATAAAAGCGTGATTTACCCCATGATCCCACTTCCTCCCACAGTAGAAATCATCCATAAACTTCATTATTTGCACCTTAAGAGACGGCCAGAATTTCTTAAAAAAACCCATCGTAAAGCCATCGGGCCCTGGAGCTTTGGAACTATCCGAGGAGAAAATAACATCCCTAACTTCCTCTTCTGAGAATTTAATCAACAATTTGGCTTCCTGAAATTTATTCTATAGACTAACACTTTGAGATTAATCAACAATATTTGAAGATGCTTTGAGTGGTATAATATAAAAAAAAGACTACAGAGTACATTTTTTGATAAAATAAAGGTGTAAATATCTGTTATCCAGGCCCAGTTGAGTGTCGGATATAGGTATGTATTCAATTCTAATTTTTAATAAAAAATTCAATGTACTTGCTCGATCATGCCCTTTTTCCAATGTCCTAGTAGGCTCAAGCGCTAAGTGTTGGGTACTAGTGCTATAGGGGAAAAAAATGAAGAACCCAAGTAACAAAGGTATATAATAAGGATATTAGACCAGATCATCCATCTCTAACTACCCTTGCATTAGTCTTTAAAAATATGGGATAAAATAGTTGCTATTTATATGGATCAATGCTAAAGATGACATCTCACGAGCAATATCAATCTCTCTTTCAGGAACTACTGCCTAGATTATCTCCTCGACTCGGGGTGGAGCTTGTCCATAAGAAGATAGCAACAGCTTTTAAACAGTAAGATCTTCGTAATTTTTTGTTCTATGATGGAATGGATACTGAAGTTCATGTACAACTAGAAGGGAAAACGTTTTTGATATACACCATTTCATTTTAGTATGTTTGATTGGGTCAGTTCTAGTTGCCATCACCAATAATCTTGGTTCTTTAATGTCATTCATTGTGCACTCAATTGCTTTTATTGCTATTAAAATCCTGCTTTCCTCTTGCTAACGGTTGAGGTTGTCCTCATTTCATCTTTTCCATTTATGGATTTGAATAATAACTTTAATATAAAATTGTACTTTTTTTTAATACAAATGAGGTTGTAGTTGAGAGATAAGGGAAGGAATTACAAGTGTTGTGATTTGAAACGCAGTCTTGTCGGATATCACCTTCTTTCTTAAATTATGTCAAGTTATTGCACTGAGTGGTTGATTTCTTCTTCTTCTCTAGTGCTTTTATTTATTTTTATTACATGTTAAAAGAAAGTTGATTAGTCTTGCAAGTGACTGGACTGAGAACTTATTTGATTGATTCCACTGTCCATGGTGAAAGGCATTCCTATGGCAATGCCTTCCTCTCAGTAAACAAGATTGGGGGGGGGGGATGGTCAAAGTTTCTTTACAGGCGGCATAATTTACGATACAACTGGCTATCACTACTCTTGATTGACTCTTGAGGTTCAGTATGGTGCCGTGCACGCATATTCATGGACACCTAACCCAAAACATCAACCTTAACAGAAAGTTCCCCCCCCCTGGATTGCTTTGTGCTCTGAAACAAAATTTTCTTTTGCATATCTTTTATGTATTATTAATTCTGTGCAAAGTGCAAACAAAAGCAGGCCAATTTTAAGATAAAATGAAATTTTTTTCATCAAACATGATTCGTTAAAGTCATATCCATTCATTTTTTTACTACTTTTGACTAAATTCATTGTTTCAAAGGTCCCAAGCAGTTTGTGCACTCGGATTGCTATTGAACTCCTGACTTTCTCTGTTGCATGATCAACTTTGTAGTTTCCATTTCATCTTTTCCATTTATGGATGTCATCCATATCTTGGTCTAGTGGGTAACCAGTAAGGTAAACACGCATCAAAGGGAAAAGAAAATGAAAAGGATTGTCCAAGAGATAAAAGAGTTGATGTCACCTGCACCTTTGGTTTGTCGTTGAAGTCTCGTTATAACCAAGCATCTTTGGTTAGCCATTGAAGGGATACCCAAGCTTCTTAACCGATGGCATAACATTCGATAAGACCGGATAGTCACGCATCCTCTTGGCATCATCTTCTCTCCCATTACCAAAGGGAAAACAGTATGGATATGTACACCAATGAATTTCCCACTTCGGATTGCCTTGTGCTTTCAAGTAAAATGACAAAAGTCTTTGTTTTTATATCACTCTTTATACGCATTGTTCAAGTCCATGGATCATCTCATCCCATCTTCCAATTATTGGCGTCAAATGATTCGTTTGATTCAAGTACAAACTTCCATGAAAACAAGTATTTAGCTATCGTGGTTAAATCCCTTTTCACCATTGAACTAATCTGATAAATCAAGCCAGATCATTTGCAGAGGGTTGATTTGTTCTTCTGAATTGATTAGTAGTTTGATTTCGTTAAATGTTTAATGCAATTCAAAAGGGAATGATTGATGTTTTGCAATGCTGGTGTATAGTTCCACTGAGAAAGTCGAGCCTCATCAATTGATTTAACAATTGAATTTGGATGGATTAGAGTCGTAGACAGTTGATAGAACTGCTTGTCTTTTTCCTTAAATGATAACTCCACAAACTTAATTGCTTCTTTTCTTCTTTTCCAACCCTTTGGAAAGTGCTTTCTTCCACCCTCATGAGTGATCTATGTTGCTTCCAAACATCATGTATTGGGCATCGTTTTGCATGTTTATCTGTTATATTGCCAACTAGAAGTTGCATGAACAAAGCAAAATATAAATTCGTATTCGATATAATTTAATCATATAAGATTCATATTCAAATATAACTTCGTATCCAACATAATTTTAAAGATACGACCCTTATATTCAAAAACTTTAAATTTTATGTACACTAAATACAGGTAAGTGAATCATATGAATGAAAAGCATTTGACAGAGTTGATGACTAACGTACGGCAAGCAAATTCTTGTTCCTCATAAGGCCAATTAAGTCGCAGGGTTTATCCGTTGAGTAATTCAGTGGTTGAACCAAAAGAGTAAATTATTATTGTTATTATTTTATTAGTAGATACACCCAAAAGATCAAATTATAGACGCAAAAGATTAGCTTTCATGTCCATATCATGCATGCTGAATGAGAAGCAACAATAAAATGGAACCCCCCATTATTTCTTTCTTAGCTACAATTAACCATTAAATCTTCAAGCACTTAGCTTCTATGGCCTGATCTCATCATGCATTTTTATCAATTATTTATTCTCCATGTATAGTTTATTAATAACTTGCAAAAAGTAAGGGGAGAGGGAACTTCTGTGTATGGTTGTTTTCTTAAGCCGAATTTTAATTATTTTTTTATCTATCATGTTTGTATAATCATATCGAGTTTAAAATTATCAATCTGATGTTGGGATGAGTGAATAATCTAGTTGAGATACACACAAAAATCATTGGACTCGGATTGCATTATACCAGGGCATAGTATGAGACAATCTTGAAACCATATGCTTGTGTTAGACTAAGAAACAAATTCACAATTATGCTGAAAGAACAACATAGAACATACAAAAATCTTAATCAATGTTAAGTGGATTCGAGTGAGTGTTGGATATAAATATATATTTCTCGTGTATTTATTCATAATATGCTTCAAACATAAATGTCTTAAGCTAATAAAAAAGTATTTCCATTATTTTCTCTTGTATTCTTATACTGATATTTGTATATCAGAGCCATTGTCGAAATTCTTACAATCATCAGAGGACATTAGACTTAAACCACACCTTCCTTGTGTAATTGTATCTTCCGCTCCATCTGCAAAAATGAAGAAGGATAGCATTATTTCCATGGAAGATAAAATAAATGAGTATCCTTTATATTTGTTTCCATCGCTTTGGCTGACAATGGATAATTGGATATGAAAGGCAAAAAAGCAAGCACAGTCTAAAGTTAAGTGGATAAGAGACCCTGCAGATTTTAAGTTTGACTGAAGTCCTTTACATGGTTTATTTGTATATATAGCATCAGTTTTGATCACTTCTTAGTCAAGAACTCAAATAAAATCTTCCCATATCTACTGAGTTAGAGCAAATATGAGTGAGCAACTTTCAAATGGACCTTGGAGTGTAAATTTCAGCAAGGCAAAGCCTTATTTACTTATGATATTCTTGCAATTTGGTTCGTCTGGGATGTACATAATCAGGATGGTAACTCTCAACCAGGGCATGAACCGTTACGTGCTCGTCGTGTATCGTAATGCCATTGCTGCACATGTACTTGCACCGTTCACACTGGTGCTTGAGAGGTGATCATAATTGTATCATATAGTACATGCATTCATACATAGTAACAGTGATCTATGTTGCTCTCGGTTCCAATTTGAATATCAAATACGAATAAAAACAGGACTAATCTCTATATGCATATTCTCCTTTCTTACAGGAAAACAAGGCCGAAGATGACATTCTCAATCTTCCTACAAATAATGACCTTGGGATTTTTGGAGTGATCTTTCTCACTTCTTACTTCAGTAGCAGTAAACACCATTACATGGAAATTCCAATCATACACAAATTCCCAGTTTGATTCAGACCAATCAAGTCATCTAGGAACAGTTTTTTTTTTGATGTCCGATATTTTGTTGTTGTTGTGGACAGGCCAATCCTTGATCAAGGCTTCGTTTACATGGGAATGAAATATACATCAGCATCATTTACATCTGCAATTATGAATGCAGTCCCTTCAATCACCTTTGTGATTGCACTCATTTTCCGGTAAATTTTGCGGACTCCAAAATTATCTGCTTTATAGTTGCTAGTTTCCAGCCATTGAAATTCATTCACGAACTGCGTGATCAGATTGGAGCATTTAAATATGAAGGAAATACGCAGTATAGCCAAGGTAATTGGGACTGTGGTGACCCTTTCAGGAGCTTTACTCATGACACTTTATAAGGGCCCGCCCCGTTACTGATTTAATTTGGTCAAGGAACACAAGCCACCATGGGAGCAGCGGAAGCGGCGACTCGTCCGATAAGCACTGTGTCGCAACCGTCTTTCGGTTGGGCTCCGGTATTGGGTTTCGACTTGAAAAATGTGGATTGAGAGTCGTCACCGATCATTTATTTAAAACAAATGGGTTGATCGGATACTCTATTTCTTACCTGATCTGCGTCTTTCCAAAGATGTGTCGGGTTCGGGAGTCGGTTACGGTCAAGGAAGGATTAGCACCCTTGAACCGCCCTTTCGGTACTACGTAATTTCCAGTTGTCTTTGATTAAGAAAATTGCAAGTTAAATTAAAAGGTAAAATTTGATCCGAATTACTTACCTTTAATGAGTTTACGGAAATACCCTTAAAAAATTAAAATAAGATGTTAAAAGAAAATAATAATAATAAAAGAAAATAACAAAATTAAAGAGTAAACCAAGGAAATAAATGAAACTAATAATAATAAACATAAAATAATTGGATAAAACAAATAAAAAAATGAAATTGAATAAAATAAAATAAATGAAGAAAAAAATATATATATAAAAAAGAATAAAAAAGTTAAAGTGTTTTTAAATAATAATAATAATAATAAGAACAAAGAAACTAAAAACATAATGAAAATAAATAAATAGTATACATAAAATAATAAAATAAAAAATATATATAAAAATATAAAAATGTATGTTTAATATAATAAAATACTAAATAGTTACAATAATAATAAATAAATGAAAAATAAATATACATATAATATTAACTAAAAAATAGTAATAATAGAAATATAAAATAAAATGAAGTAAGAATATATATATAGATAAAAAATAATATAATATATATATATATATAATAATAGGAAAATAATATAATATAACGCAAAGAAAAATGAAAAAAAAATTATAATAAATAAATAAATTAAATATAATTAAATATATATATATTTATACATATAAATAATAAGGGTTAAATTAAAATAAAAAATGAATTAGGGGTCAAAATTAAAAGTCAATCGAAGAAAAAAACGACAAAACACGCGGATCCACACGACCCGTTTATAAAAATCCGAATAGTTTTTCAAAAACACAAGCCTCGGGGACTAGATCTACAAAAATAGATCTCGAAAACGCCCCTGTTCATCGGCCAAAAACACTTATCTCAGTTTTCTTTCGAATCAAAACACAACAAGGGTAAGGAAAAATAACATGCGAAGATATGAACATTACATTTCAAAATATAAATGCTTCGAAAAATGGCTACGAGTTTCTTGTAATTTTTTGCTTGGTATTTCATATATCATTCTCCGAATGTGTTACAATAGTGAGTTACAATGGCTATTTATAGTGCTTGTGGATCCTATCTTTAGGAGTTTAAATCATAGTAGAACTCTATTCTATTTTTAGGAGTTTGAATCCTAGCAAAATTCTATCCTATTTTTAGGAGTTTGAATCCTAGTAGGACGAAAAGGTGTGTTGACAGCTGCCCCTCTTTGCCCATAGTCGTGTAACGGGGATAGGACAAAGATTAAAAGATACACTTTTCGTTCAGTGGAGTTGAAAATAGACTCTAATGTTTCAATAACTCCCTGTCGAATTGAGTTATGGATGACTCCTCTATCGTGAAGTCGAGTTTATCTTGAAATGATATGAAATTGAAGCCGTAGTTCGGAATTTGAATCAGCACATGGCTTCCCGTTGCCCTTCGGTCTTCTTCTCGGTTTAAAGACCTTGGATCGGAATCGAACTCAAAAATCTTCATTGACAGATAGCTTTTTCTTGACTTAAGCTATGTTGCTTGAAAATGGTTGCTTATCACTCAGGCACGGCTAACCCAGGTCCTCTTCTCGACTTGAAAACCTCGACTGCAACCGGAAAGTAGTGCGATTGATGTGTCATCGAGCTGAATGGAATCGATCGACAATTTTGATGGAAGATAACCCTTCTAGCCTTGAGTTATGCTGTAAATGATGTGCCTTGGAGCTAAGCGTAGTCGAACTCGAAGGTCTTTGTTGACAGATAATCCTTCTTTGAGTTGGATATCCATCGTCGTGAAGTTGAAATCCAATCTAAAGATGGATGATGCTTGTGTGCACGATTCCCTTCATCGTGAAGTTGAAACCGCGGGTGACCCCTTCGTCGTGAAGTTGAGCATGGAATTGGATATCCTTCGTCGTGAAGTTGAAATCCAAGTAAGTAGCATTGTTCCGAGTCCAATATCCTCCGTCGTGAAGTTAAAATTGGCTCTGGAATCGGGAAATTGTTTGTTGACAACCAGCCGTCCCTTCGTTGTGAAGTTGAACTTGTGTTGTCTCGAGTCTAATATCCTTTGTTGTGAAGTTGAAATTGGCTCCGAAATTAGGAAATTGTTTATTGACAACCAGCGGTCCCTTCGTCGTGAAGTTGAACTTGCGTTGTCTTGAGTCCAATATTCTTCGCTGTGAAGTTGAAATTGGCTCTGAAATTGGGAAATTGTTTGTTGACAACCAGCGGTCCCTTCGTCGTGAAGTTGAACTTGCGTTGTCTGGAGTCCAATATCCTTCGTTGTGAAGTTGAAATTGGCTCTGAAATTGAGAAGTTGTTTGTTGACAACCAGCGGTCCCTCGTTGTGAAGTTGAACTTGTGTTGTCTGGAGTCCAATATCCTTCGCTGTGAAGTTGAAATTGGCTTTGAAATTGGGAAGTTGTTTATTGACAACCAGCGGTCCCTTCGTCGTGAAGTTGAACTTGGGTTGTCTGGAGTCCAATATCCTTCATTGTGAAGTTGAAATTGGCTCTGAAATTGAGAAGTTGTTTGTTGACAACCAGCGGTCCCTTCGTCGTGAAGTTGAACTTGCGTTGTCTGGAGTCCAATATCCTTCGCTGTGAAGTTCAATTTGGCTCTGAAATTGGAAAGTTGCTTATTGACAACCAGCGGTCCCTTCGTCGTGAAGTTGAACTTGTGTTGTCTGGAGTCCAATATCCTTCGTTGTGAAGTTGAAATTAGATCTGAAATTGGGAAATTGTTTATTGACAATCAGCGGTCCCTTCGTCGTGAAGTTGAACTTGCGTTGTCTGGAGTCCAATATCCTTCGCTGTGAAGTTGAAATTGGCTCCGAAATTAGAAAATTATTGTTGACAACCAGCCGTCCCTTCGTTGTGAAGTTGAACTTGTGTTGTCTTGAGTGGCACGATATCCTCCGTCGTGGATTTGAAATCGTGGATGTTTGGCTTCGAGCTAGATATCCTTCATTGTGAAGTTGGAATCTACTCTCGAGCAAATTGTGAGTTCGAGAGAAACTTTCAATCTGTCGAGTTGGTCGAAGTGTAGCTTCTTGCTGCTGAGTTAAGCAACCAACATGAATCTTTAAAGGTTCTTTTGAATCGAGTATCCTTCGTCTTGAAGTCAAAACTTGACTCTAAAAGCTGCAAAAAATTATGTATGTGGAAAATGATAAATATGATGCTCTAAAATGTATGCATAAGATGCATGTAACATGAATTGGTTATATTTTATCTCCTAAAAAAGGTCTGATAATTTTCATTAGGATGTTAAATCCCCAAATGATGCCCCAATATCCAAAAATGCCCCAATATTTGGTGTTGAATATTCAAAGATGCCACAAATGTTCCTCATTTCTTGCTTCAGCATTGATTCTGAGCATGAGTTTTGTGTCTAAAAGTCACATGTCATTTATCAAGATCCACTCTAGAGAGATTGTCTTGTTTGAAAAAAAATGTTTTTCTTTCTCTTTTATTTTCAAGTTATGAAAATATCAATTAAAAGAGTTTTGAAAAAGTTTGATCCAAAGTTTTGAAAATATTGTCACTTTCACGGTTTTACAATTGAGACGAATCATAAACTAGAGTTCATCGGATATCAAAGAATTAATTATACTGTTAATCCTTTAATGAATTATAGCTATTTGACAAGTGCCAAGATCAAAGCTATTTTTGGGAAGTGGTTAAGTAAGGAAATGATAAAAAAAAATCTCAGGTTATTATGTTTGGTCAAAGGTTTGGCATTTGATGCTCAAAGGTTTGGCATGTGATGCTCATAGGTTTGGCATTTGATGCTCAACGGTTTGATGGGGTAGCTTGTATGCTCCTCTACTGGAAGTGTTCTCTGACTCCCAACCTTCGTGGTCACACTCGGGTTGTGTGATGTCGTATCAAGGAATTTGTGTGATCGCCTCAGTTGCACAATTTTTATATCCGAGCCGCTTTTTCAGGTTTTCAACTCGAATCCTCTTTTGGTTTCTAGACGTTATTCAGGATTTACGTCTTGAACCCCCCCTTTGTTATTTTTCTCTACCATGCATTAATTACATTGTTTTTCGCAAACAAAGATTAATCTTGATGGGCGGGATGAAATCTGAAGATATTCTATTCTGTTTAGAAATCCATATAGAATTAGAAGGGACTTTTAAGGCACGTAATGTAGGTCAGGGTTCATGGTTATGAAAGAAAATGATAAATAGGCCCAAACAAGTGTTTCAGGGTGTTGAACCAAGGATCAATTCATTCTGATGCCTTCAATCTTGCTCAAAATGTTTCTCTCTCTTGATGCTCTATGATCTTCGAGTGAAGTGATTCAGTGATTCTGGAATGATTGTGCTTGATCAATCTCATAGTTTGAAGCTTGATGTACCATTTGTCTTTAGGGAATCTTTGCATGTGCTTTTTTGTCCATTTTTCTTTTTGATTTTTGTTCTTTCTTTTTTTTGTTTTCTTCTTTTTTGCTTTTTTTCTTTTTTTATTTTTTTGCCCTTTTTGTTCTGATTGAATCTTCGCACTTGGCATTTGGTTCACCTTTTGGTATCTCATCTGAATTAATGTCTTCGCTCATGTGAGCATATTTCTTCCACATTGCCCCCAGTGTGGAGGGTAATCCTTGGTTAGGGTTGAATTAGAAGAAAAATACTACAGGCTCAAAAAGGGACACAAGGGATATATATTTTTTCTCCTGTTGTGAAGGGATAAAGAAATAAAGTCGTTCATCATTTCATACATGTAAATCTTCACAGAAGAGGTATCCCCAGGTGGATAGATTTTCAAGATTAATTCTATTCACATGAAAAC